AGAGACAAGTCTAGTGAAGGGAATGTCAAGCATTTACTTGCTCTATCTTTGGGCAAGATTTTAATCTTTCTAAGCCTCAATTTCCTTATTCATGAAATGTGAATGTGATGTAGAGTTTGTAGGGTTGGTGTGAGAATCATCTGAGATGAGGTTTATATGGAATGTGCCCAATGCAGAGGAGGCGGCTGGCGCTCAGCAAAATCTAGGACTGGTCTTGTTGGCCAATCTGACTTTTCTACCTGCTAAACTAAATTTTGGACTCAACCAGTCTCACATAAACTGACTCCAGGCTCACAGACCCAGAGTATTTTGCAGACACAGAAATTGCATAAGCTTGCTGTGGAGTCTCAGATGTGAGAAATGAACATAATTCATCATTCCTAGCCTTTTGCATAAAATTGGGTTTAGCAAGAGGAGTTCATTCCATTAAAGGACATGTCTGGTAGTAAACAGATGTCTGAACTAAGCAAAGAGAGCAGGTAGAGAATATCAGCGTCCAAGGAGTAAAGATCCCCCAGAGCTCCCTGCCTATCTATTCCTGACAGTGACAACAGCCACCACTACAGCAAGGATATCCACATAGTTTCAGAACGCTTCAGAGTTCATGACAATTAGAATGACAATTAGATACTGGATTCTCAAAAGGGCCCATATTTTCAGTACTTACATAGGATAAAGAGGCAGTGTTTAAAAGGGGTATCCCTGAAGGCATGAGCTACTCACAATTCAATTCTCTTTTTTGCCTCTCTCTCAGCCTCTCAACACCATTCATTGTAGTTTTGGCATCCCACCCCCGCTGCTAATTTTCTTTCTTGAGCTTTGTCCTCAATTTCTGCTGGTACAATGCAATCTCAGTAGCAAGAAAAAAGGAGGGGAAAAAAAGAAAAGATAACTAAAAAAATCCTACAGATCCAGATTAGAGAAATAATTTGAGACATGTTTGGCTGTAGAGGTGGTGGAGTGTGCTGGAGAAACACTGATCTTGGAGTCCTTCGGCCATGGTTTAAGGCCCAGCTCTGTTCCTTACTCACAGGGGACGCTGGCTGGTCTCTTAACCTTCATGAGCTGCAGGTATTTAATTTGCAAAATGAAGATAACAGTCACTGCACTGCAGCCTCCCTGGGCTTGCTGTGTGGGTCAAATGAGACACAGATTGTGACCAGTGCTGTAAAGTACTAAATAAATGCATGGAATTCACGTTATCCCTGTTATAGCATCTCCCTTAGCTTGTCACTTTGAAGACCCTAATCCCTCCAGGGAACTGTTCCCAGTTACTACCCATTCCAAGTCATTTGGACAGTGTCTGACTCAGTCCTCATCCATCTCTGCTTGAAGGGGCTTTATGATCACTGCCTTCATGTGCCATTTCATTTGCTGTATCAGTCTGTTCTTCTGTTCATTTTACAAACATTTGCCGAATGCCTAGAATGCCTCAGACAGTGTGCTATGTGCTCAGGATAGATATAGATAAATTATGGTTCCTACTCTCATGCTAGTAAACTCTTGATGGTTCCCAAATATACCCCCTCTGGTCTTGAGCTACACCTGTTCCTTAGCTCTATAATATCTGTGTTTTCTTTATCCCTAAGCCTAGCAAGCCGAATGCTTTCCTTTCCTGGTGTCACAGGATCCTAACTCCACAATTACTCGTGAGGCCATCAACATTCCCCCCAAACTCGAAAACGTAGGTGATAGCCTCTTAATTCTTCCTCTCTCAGGGCATTAAAATTAATTCTCTCAGTTTCTCTTGGACAATACCTCTTAGAGGAACCTTTTCCATTTCTACAGGTAGGACTTCACAACACACTTTTTGGGTAATTGGGGTAACTGATTGCCTATCTTTGGGCCTCCAGCCTTTCTCCACCTCACCCCACCCCTTACAGGGCTGCCAGATTAATTTTCCTACCCTCACTCATTTGACTCTGCAGTGATACTTCCCCCTTGTTCTGGATTTCCTTACTACCTAGGTATATGGTCTAGCTCACACTGTCACACACACTCAATTGGTGCCTTGAAATTATCCCCTCAGTGGCCAAGATATACCTTGGCTATCAGTGATAACATTTTAATGAATGCAGCTTCTTGTCTCAAAGGCGGGGCTTGGAAATGAATTCCATCCGGTATGTGGCAAAGGTCACCTTATAAAACAGTAAGGACAGGCTCTGCTGTGAGTGACAGAGCAGCTTTCAGTTCCTCATGATGCAGGAATGAGGAGCAACAAAGCTAAGGCCTCCTGGGGTGACATTCTCTTCCCTTCTGCTAATGACACTTGGTTGGCAGAGATGATGAGTCTATCATTCTCAAATGGACAAGAAGGTAAATAAACACCTTTAAAAAAAAAGAAAGAGACAAGTTGCAGCTCGGAAATTTTTCAGTTTTTCTCATTGCAAAATCAATACCCATCAGCAGTTTGAAATTAAAAGCAAGGTTAGGCCTCAGTTTTATACATACCTTATTGTATTCCAAAAGCTTTCTACTCAGTCAGATAAATCTTCTTTAAGAGGATTAGGAAACTTTCATTATCTTTATCTAACCTGAACTAACACTAAGTCTGAAAAATTAATCTATAGACTGGACAAAAGCCGATGGCTGCTGGGAAGGAGGACTCTTGGATGTCTTTCTAATTGAGCAGTGGAGTCTCTGCTTCCTCCCACTGGAAATTCAACGGGTCTCCAAAGAAAGAACAAGTCACGCCATTGCTAACCAAGACAGAAGAGAATACAACTCCCGGAGCTCCTTCTTTTAACCTCTCAGTAAATGCAAAGACCCACCTGCCAAGCGTTCCAAGAGAAGGTTCTCTCCTGCACCTCCACCCTCCCCGGTCTTTTGAATTGGATTTCACAGGCCATCCCAGAGGCCCGGAGCTATAAGAGTTGCTTGGCCTGGAGACTGTGAGGAACTGACCCCTGGCACTGAAGACTCCACTGCTTTGCATCTTGCCTGTTCTCAGGCCCTTCGTGACCCGAAGTTATGAAGCCTACAGGGAGACACCACGGGCTTCCATATCCAGCCCAGGGCTTTGTTCCAGAGTGCCTCATGAAGAACATCATCCCCGAAGCTCTGCGCCGCTAGCCCTTCATGGCCTGTATTGACTTCGACATGCTCACACACTCTGTCTTATTTCCTGAAAAGTGATAGCCTTGTTCTGTTTGAATCTGTTTCTGTACAGTGCCTGACAGTTCTTTTTTTATTTCATTGCTGCATTTCCTGAATTTGAAGATAACTTTGCTGTCAAGACCACGGGGGTGGGTGGGTGGAGGTGCCACAGAGGCGTCACTTCCAATGCTGAGAATTTCAGCTCCTCTGGAACCAAGGCCAGGTGGCGGGCGGGGTAGCAGGAACTCACGTACCCTTGTTTTTTGTACCCCAGAAACTTTTAACAGGCATTTCAGCTCATCTCAGATGACGGATCTCACCGAGTGCCTCACCATCCTCTGAGGAGAAGCATCAGACATGACAGTTGTCTTTATCTCCAGATGGCAGGCCATCTTGTATCTCTAAAGCGGTGATCATCACCAAGCCATACCCCTGGGTGGAACACGTGTGGAGAATGGAAACAGCAGAGTCTACAGACATCTGTGTATGGCAGGCTAACGTGGGTGTCTGACAGCACACAGGGGTGAGAGAAGGGTTTGGAGGCTGAACTGAGGCAAAGCTTCAAGTTATATGGCAGCACCAGAGCCTGCTGGGGAACAGAAACTGCAGAAAACAGAACTCCAGCCTAGCACATGCCCTTACAAATGGCTCAGAGTCAGAGGCCTGGGTGCTGGGCTAGCTAAGAGCTGCTCTAGTCAAAAGAAAAGAATGGCCATCCTGAGTTGTACAAGTGGCTGAAGCAGGACAAGACCCTAACCCCTACTCAAACTCTCCATGAGACCAGCTGAAACGAGCAAAGTTATATTTTTTAGAAAGGCAGGAGCGAGGGAATCCATATTAGCTAATCAAGTATGCTATACATATATCATAATCTGACCAAATAAAATCCTTTGAATCTACTATAGATTTGATTCGATAGAAGGCAGTTACTAAAGACTAAATCCTAAGTAGGAACTACTTCTGAGAGCTCGTTCAGAGCCCCAAACATCAGTACAGAAGACTCTGAGAAACGTCCATCCAAATCTCTCATCTGGTGGAGGAATGTGTCATTGGAGAATGGGAGCTAGTCAGCTTAGCACTTCATTGTTACTGTTACAATTACCTGACAGAAATCGCTTTACATAGTGATGGTGGGTGGGGGGAAAGCACAGTTAATTGGGGACAGGTCAAAATAAGTTCATTTGTACTGCTGCCTTGTTTTAAAATGGTTCTCAAATTCTCATAACTGCTATCTGAATGTGTTTCTAATTCTTAATATTGAATAATTGATATCTGATTCTGACATTTCCTCAGTCCCATTTTTTTTCCTACAAAGTGAAACTTGAATGAAAAGCTATCAAACACCATGCCTGGGTTATACCGATTCAGATTTTTTAAACGAGAGAATAGGAGAGGATATTAGGGATTTCACTTTCCCCCTCCCCCTTTTTAATTATGTAGATTTATTTCCAACGTAGACCTGGAGA